CCGTTGCTATAGTACCGCATCCACCGGCAATGCGCCCAAGGGTACGGGCTAGACGAGGTCAAGCCACAGATCCACACAGTATTGCTGAACGGGTAAGCTTAATGTAGAATGTGCAGCAATGGAACCATGGAAATAGGTTAATGTAGCATGCACTACAATGGCAACCATAGCAATAATGCAATATTGTCAAGATTACAGATGCCTCTAGAATAATCATGGACACTGGTAGTTCCTTATTGAGTTATAATGTAAAATGAGAAGAGTAGAGGGATTGCAACTTTAACATTCTTGTTAAGGAGTAAAATATAGTTTCCTATTTGTGTTCAAGTTATTTTGTTCATTAAAAATGTTATTTGGATGATGGCTTGGCAATTGTATTCAAATGAGGCTTTTTGTTGCTTGATTAATGAGTGGTGTTACTGAACAATCAATGCAAGTATTTTGAGCCTGCTAAATACAGCTGGTTGGTGATTAACATGACTAAAATACTGTGTTTATAAACCTATTATGATGAATCTTATCCACTCTCTTTGGAAAAATCTGGTAAAAAGGCTTTCAATAAAAAAGAAAATTCTATTAAGAATCCTGCTGGGAACCAACTTATCTTAAGGTTTTGACATGGATTATATTGTGTTGAATTGAAAAGTATTCCTACACTATTTTCTTTGGATGGGCATGTTAGCATGTGATTTTGACTATTTCAACCTGTATAGTTGGTATAAAAAATGAAATGTTGGTGTATATGATAATTATTTGAAGACTTGATGAGGACTGAGGCGCTGGCTCATAAGTTCATTTGTTCTCATCTTCTGATTCCATTTGTTTTTGCCCTTAGAAAGTGCTCCATCATTCTTGATCCTTTTTTCCCCTTTTGGGCACAGTTGCGCAGAGAAAGAATAGCCGAAAGAATCAGGGCATTGCAGGAGCTGGTTCCTAGTGTCACCAAGGCCAGTGTCTTTTCTCTTATGTCATTTCATAATTTTCTTGCAGAATGGGTTTTGTTTTCCATATTGTAGGAAAATTATTTCTCATTTCGTGCTTGCCTCTTTGTTGAAAGGAAAACATTGAATAATTAACAAAGTACAGGTCAATTTCTTTTCAACCAAGTTAATAGTTCTTTTCCTAAATCAAGTTGTTTCAAAAAATAGAAGGGCTTGTGTGAGTCAACGTTAATGATTTTAAATACTATGACAACATCCTTGTCACAAATCTGTGGTCTGTTTTCAGTGAGAAAAAATTGTTGGTATGGATTTCCTATGCTGCATGTGTGAGGACATAAATTATGGATTTTTCCGAACTTCCATTTGCCAGAAGTTTGTTGGTACATATTTACCTGGGTTTGCGTGTGTGAAGACACAGGAAATTTTGTAGTTTGATAAAGCTCATCTGCGTCCTGAGTCCTTCACTTTCAAGTCCTTTTCTTTTTGGCTTCCAGTCATTTCTGTGCTGGAATTGAGAATGAAACATGTATTTGAAAGTGGACAAGTGATAAGCATTAGAAGGGAAATGAAAAGGCTTTTTTATATATATATGGCATGTGTAAGCTTTCATCGAACTTTATTCCTCAATTTGTAGGTGGGAATTTATAGGTGTATGTTCTCGGAATATGGCTGTAGAATGAGTGATTTTGGTTGACTAGAGGAGAGGAAGTTTTACTAAGCATAATGTTTGCTTCTTTCTCAATCAATCCTCAATTTATGCATAATTTATTTGTACAGACGGATCGAGCCGCCATGCTTGATGAAATCGTGGATTATGTGAAGTTTTTAAGGCTTCAAGTAAAGGTATGATACCAAAATTTTCAGTTTCAGAATCCTTATTCAGCTGATCTTTTTGTGGCGAACATTAATATTCTTGTGTTTGTGAAGAGTCTAGAGGGTTTTTATTCATTCCTTCCCCCCTTTTACTTTATTTTATGTTTGTGAATAATTGATTATCTCAGTCAAGGTTCTAATGATTGCCGAACCAATTAGTGATTTTAGCAACTCCTTTCTTTCATCTAATCCAAACAGACTTTTATGCCAAATTATTGGTGGTGTGAGTTGTTTAGAATAATGATGGTCATTTCCATACCAAATTATGAATCAACTTTTGTCTCTCTTGTGGGTTTTTATTCACTCCTTCTCCCCTTTCACTTTATTTTATGTTTGTGAATAATTGATTACCTAAGTCAAGGTTCTAATGATTGCCGAACCAATTAGTGATTTTAGCAGCTCCTTTCTTTCATCTAATCCAAACTGACTTCTATGTAAAATTATTGGTGGTGTGAGTTTAGAATAATGATGGTCATTTCCACACCAAATTATGAATTCACTTTTGTCTCTCTTGTGGTGTGTGTGTGTTCTTTGGTATTTAAATTTATGAAATGTGAAACAAGTTTTTTTGTGCCTTGAACTGCAGATGGTACTTTTATGAAAAAATTAGAAGCAAGTTATGTCTTCTTTCCTTAGGCAGATTTGGATGCTCATAAATTTTTATGATTGATAATACCTCCACAATAGATGACAAAATTATGAAATGAAGATTGCCTGAAAAAGGTGAAATATTTGATGTTGTGCAATTAACATTTTGAATATTCAATGTCTGATCGAGTGCATACCTCATTAATTGGGAAATGGAGTGCCACCAAACTATCAGGGAACTTTCTTTTTAAATAATGTCTCGTCATTAACTTAAACAGGTATTAAGCATGAGTAGATTGGGCGGAGCTGGTGCTGTCGCCCCACTTGTAACGGACATCCCACTATCATCAGTTGAGGTAATAAAGAAAAGATAGTGTGTATGGAGGATAATTCACTTCCTTCCCTTTAGCATTCAGGCAGCTGAGCTTGCTCCTTTTAATTATAGGATGAAACTGGCGAAGGAGGAAGAAACCAACCAGCTTGGGAGAAGTGGTCGAATGATGGCACTGAACGGCAGGTAGCTAAGCTAATGGAGGAAAACGTTGGCGCTGCCATGCAATTTCTTCAATCAAAGGCTCTTTGCATCATGCCCATCTCACTAGCCACGGCCATTTACCATACACAACCACCAGATACCACTACTATTGTCAAGCCAGAAACAAATCCCCCATCATAGAACCGTTGAGGGGGGGGAGGGGGGAGCATCCCAGGGTCCTTGTCTAAAAGAGTAAAGTCACCAAATGCTTAGGGTCCCACTTCTTATTTGTCACGTTTCAACCCCCACAATCAAATGTTCCCCTAGTTTCAAATTGCAATCAAAGTCAGATGCCATAGTTCTTGCTTTTGCCTTTTCTTTCCAGCCTTTTTTTTTTTTTATTCAAACGGGGTTCGATGTCAATGCCTAAAAAAGTGCAGGCAGGCCCTTGGTGTTCTGCCAAGTCCAAGTGAGAGGAGAATTTTCAAAGCTTACTCGATATGCTCTTCTTTTGGAATCAGTGGTGGGGAAGTGGAAAATGATGGAAGCGCTTTTGTAATGGGGCTCTAATTTTTCGTAGTGGGTTGTGGGACCTTGTAAAAGAGGCAAGACTGACGGGTTATATGAATATATTATCATTGTAATAGTGTATTTCAGCGTAAATGGAATGCAAAGGTAGAAGTGGATAATGGCTGGTTGTTTCAAGTCCAACAGAAAATGATAGCAGTGCTGCTTTGTTCAGGGAGGGTGCGTGCGTGGTGTTTCAAAAGGTTATTTGACTTCTTTTCCTTGTAAATCATTATTAGAGATTGAATCATTGGAGAGAGGAAGAGAGAGATCCCATGGGTGATTTGGGCTGTGTAGACTGCCGTTCCCAATCCGGCTATTCTGCTAGTTGGCCTCGAGCCAACGAAGGCATCTTCTAATGGAATCATAAAATGCTCGTTCAGGGTGTCCCGACTCCCAAGTACGTATGTGTACTTGTAGGACAGGAAACAGATTTCTTAAAGAGGACTTCGATTTTGGTGGGAAGAGATTGCGGAGCTCCGCGTAGCATGATGATATTTAGCTTAGGAGTTGTTTCGGTTATTTTTAAAAATATATTAAAAAAATATTTTTAATATTAAAATAATTTTAAAAAATAAAAAAATTTAATTTTTTAAAAAACACTATTAAAATACAATACTATAATACTTTAGCAATTGAAATGTTTGTTGGTCTTTTTCCACGCGGCACCACATGGTGTTTGCACTGATGTACTTGAGAATCTAATGTGCATTTGGTGTTTATTTTTATATTTTAAAAGTATTTTGAAATTTTTTTTATTTTAAATTAATATTTTTAAATTATTTATATATTAATATCAAAAATAATTTTTAAAAAATATAAAAAATATTATTTTAATATTTTCATAAATAAAAAACACTTTAACAACAACTACCATCACACTAATCAACAACATTCGTTCCTTGTTGGGACTAAAGAGTTTTGGTTACAGAGCTTATCCGGTTCAGTTCTCAATTGCTTCGTTGACCATGATCTAACCCAAACCAGAAGTGGGTTGGTCAATTGCGACGGATGAAGCAAGCCACCACTTACACGCTTAGATCCAACCTCTGCAAATGTGTTTTTATCTATCGTTCTATATCCAAATTATGGTCATTCACGCTTTCATACCTAACATGGTCATCTGCATCTCCATATCCGACAACGAAAATGGATAAATATCAATCAAAAACAAAGTCACGCTACCAGCACTCAAGGAGGATATATGTCGATATAGCTAAACTGACAAAATAATAATTTAGGATCGTTTAAACTATTTGTTTGCTCCAGATGCAGGAGGGGCAGCGTTCGTTATAGCTAAAGGATCAGTGAGAACAAACAGCCATCCCATTGGCGTATCCAGTTGGCTACCATAGGGCACTGCAATAGCTCAGAAATCAAGATAGAGAACTTACGGACAAGCAACAGATCATCCGTGTCAAAAAATATGAACCTCTGGATGATGTAAACTCAGGAAATCCGGGTTCCCCTTTTTCTTCAGAATCAACAAAACCTGACTCAAGCTATCTTCAGGATTTTATTTTATTTTTTGCAGTGCTGAAGAAACATCTTAGAGATAGTTTCAGAATAACATTTTATTATGAACCTTGGCATACCCTGCGTTAACAACAAACTGCATTTTCAGTGGCCACCATACAAGGGCAACTATTCAACCACCTACAGAATTTATGAGAATCCAAGGACAACAATGATCTGTATACCATTTCACTACTTAAAATAAGCGGTTGTATGGATCTAAACATCCACCAGAAACCATACTGGTAGGAAAATACAAAAAATGGTTAAGCTTAACAAAACAAGAACTCAAGTAGGCCTGAAAAACTCCAAGCTTTGTGTTATTTGAGACAACATTTACCGTAGCTTTAGCAGGAATCAAGATCCCGGCATGGAGGAGGTTTTGGTTCTCCATGCAGAGTAGTATTTCCTCCTTCTGGTCCACAATTAATGCGTTTTGGGTTTTGTGTGCCACGCTGGAATGCATAACTAACATTTAGTTTACAGCAATAATAATGCTAATCAAATGAGAGAGAGAAAAAACCCAGGAAAAAGTAAGGATTAGAATTCATCCCCTGCCCAGTAGTCTTACCGGTGGCTTCTCCCCCTTTCTTAGCATCTCAACTATCTCAACAACTCGTTTTGGAGTAACATCTTCCTGCAATTATAATGAAAGCCAACATAAAATTCATAAAGCTTTACATCATCTGAATACACAGATTCTCAACTTTTAAGGAAACAAAGGGATTATAATTGACCCACATAATAATTGTAAGTATATCCTTCAGATCCCTTGGAGTAATCAGCCACTGTAATCATAGGAGCATTTACACAACATCCCTGCAGAAAGGACACAACTGATATTACACAATGCATTGATAACAAAAGATGGACAAGAGTATCATAAAAGACCTGTATCTCTCCATTCATGTTCACCTTGACCCCCAATTGCTTGCAAGGTTTAGGTTTGATCTCTCTGCCAAGATAGCAAGAGACTTTACAATCTAAGCTAATCAATATGTTTGCATTTGATCTCTTTTAGTACCCTTACATAATAGTGTGGCAACGAGTGGCATGCAGTTAACACACTGGATAGGAGCGCTCAAACAGTAATATGTGTAACAATAGAACCGGATAATCCACTGGATTATCCATAACAAAATACCAGTAATCTCTGGGGCTAGTTTTACTTTTTGTATTTGCTAAATTGGACATTGAAGATTTCAAGTACATCTAGTAATTACCACATTGAAATCCATTTTCCAAAAATTTCATTGGAGTTACCAGCATAGATGTAGTTCTTTCCAATTATTGAGCCCTGATTCAAGTACTACCCAAGGAAAACAGTGCTCATTTTAATAAAGATGGATGAAGAAATACTCACCATACATTCCATTTCTCCAACAGAGAAAAGGCCATCCTTGGTTACTTCTGCACTTTAAATGTTCAAAGTCAGGGCTTATTCTTCAAATCTCAAGTCAAATTCTACATAGCATGAGATCCACTGTAATGTGAAAGAAGCCAAGCTTGTTATTTGGAACTCACCATTGCGCTTCACTCCCAAGTGTTTCAGTAATGCATCTTCAATTTCCCGTGAACCTCGTATCATACATGGTGTTGTGCCGCAAACCAATAGGTGATATTTGCCCACCTGAAAAACCATTAAAGAGGCAGTAAGCTGCAATCACATTACGTATATGAAGAGAAAGCAACGTGTAGAAAAGTATAAATTTTCTCACCGGAGACCTGTTGAACATTGAGTAAAATGTTGCGACTTCATACACACGGATAGGAGCAACTTCAATAACCTTAGCCACCTAGAGGATCCACGAAACATTTGGACACTGTTAATCATTTATTGGTCTGCACTCCAGTGGGATTAGCTTTCTTTTAGCCATGTGAAGATATCTGAAAATCTGATACTTGCAACAAAAAAGTTTAAAAACTAACAAAAAGAAATTGGCAATACATGTTGGCCAAACAAGAACTGATTATATTAACAGAATAATCCAGATATCTCTAAAACTTAGAATGAAAAACTGTATACTATCTGATGTTAAATGATACAATTCATGGCCAACTTGGGTTTTTACCAATCTATCCATTTATGTTCAAGATACCACCTCCTTCGCATGTCATATAATGTTTTACTCTAGGAATAAGAACACAGGGACGAAGAGAAAGTTGGACCCGCTGAAACGAGAATAGTGTTCAAAGTGCCAAACACATAATACCTTCAAACTAAATAGAGTAGCTTTAATGCCTGTTCTACTAGTGTTTTTTTTCCCAGTACAATACAGTAATATTAGGTATAACCTTCAAGAAAACATATGGGCATGCATGGTTTCTTTTCCCTTTTTTTGTTTGATGGTATCCCTAGGTTAGCTCGTCTGAATATCAACCATTAAGGCCAGGACTAGGGAATTATTAGAAAATAGATCCTCATAGCCTGGCCTGGGAATCAAACTATGCTTGACAAAGCAAGGAGCATACCCACCAGGCCACCAACCCTCAAGGTTATAGCTAGTTGATATGACAGAATATGATCAGTTATGAGTTTTGGACACTCCTATCCAAATGCTTCAGTGATTAAGAAATGCATTCTCTAGCTCTCCGTTAGCTTAGCATCGGGGAATCTGTCTCTAAATGACAATATATCACATTAAACATGAAAATAATGCTAAAACCTGATTTTGGAGGGGGGTTTTTAGCTTGATTGCCATTGGAAACTTTATGTTGAGAAAATGAAGAAAGAAGAAGAAGAAGAAGATTACTGAGACCAGATTAACCCAGCTTCAAACCAAATGTGATCCCTAAATGGTTCAACAACAGACAAGCAACCAACAAACTGTTCAACACGATCTGATACTATATAGCATTTTACTAAAACAGAAAGGTGCAATGATGTGTTTGCATCCAGCTCTAACCACTAATAATTTGTTTACCACAAACATATCAAATGTGCCATTAAGTTCCCTGCTCGACTATACTAGCTCAAAATTACTGCTAGAAGTTTATGGTGTCAATTCAAATCATTAATTTTTGAGTATCATGTCCACTTACTGCATTCATTGCTGAAACAGGGAGCCAACCTCCATGCTGTTGCTGCGCAAGATCTAACAGAGGAATAACTGCTGATTGCTTGTAGTTGGATGGATAGTGAGATACTATTTCTTTAACCTGACATCAGAGGTTAAGAACAATGAAATGTTAACATCTAAACATTCAAAGAAAATCTGCTAAGAGATACTATCAATGTTTTGGTTAAGTTCTCTATTGAGAATTCAAGATCTGCAGGAGACAAACTATTTAATCGAGATTCCAGGATTATAAGAGCCAGCATATGTACTTTGCTTGACTGCCCCTGGGACCACAGTACAGTAATACAAGGCTCATGCCTCACCCATTGACACTAATAGTGCAACCCTCACGTCTAGTAGCCACTTTATGCTGGGTTCATACTGCTGCTTCAAGGAAACAAAGTTGCATCCTTATAAATAGCTAAGTTTTAGGTGAATTGGCAAGTGTTTTTTTCCCAACATAAGTGAAGAATGTAAATAGTTGCCTTTGTGGTATACAGAATTCTAGGTATAAACTGTAGATGTTATGTTTTCTATTCTTCCTTGTAAAAAGGATGACATCATTATCAGCATGGTCACAAAATTGCCTCCATTAAATGCAAAGAATCCACTATCATCCAGTAATGCAGAGTTTTAGCTCCTAAAAAAAGGTAGTTGCATCAGCATGCCAAAAAGGAAAGAACACAACTTCTTCAGAGATCACATCTTTTCATTTTCTTGTCACCGCAGAACCGCGTACCATAGATTATAGAAAAATGTGTCAAATCCATAGATTATAGAAAAATGTGAATTTGACGGGTCGTTTCCTAGTAATAAAAATTGATTAAAAGAGATTAGCCTATTCCCGGAAAAGAAGATATAGCAAAGGTAGCCAGCAAGTCCCACGAAATGATATGCTGCATCGCCAATTGCATACCAACAACTTATCATCTCTGCTAAAGTCTCCTGTAACCAACCAATGTCATGCACAGTGCAATTAATTCCGAGCCTGCATTTATAAGCTATTACTCCCTTTTCAATGATCAGACTTATAGCATCTTTATAATGGTGGACTTGGCAACTTTAAGAATTTATTACCTTCGTGACCTGGCTCTAGTTTTAACAAGGTTATTCATCCCACCACTCCCGATAGTTTCTAAATAACCCAGGCCAGAGCTTATAATACACTAAATTCAGAATTGTCTCGCTGATTACTGCTAATAGTTTAAGAGCATAAAGGATCGCGATTTACAGGAAATAAAATGTAAAATGAGCTGAAAATTTCATTTAATTAACATACATTTACACAGACCAGCGGAAAAATAAGAGCAAATCAAAGATTCATGTTATTAGAAATTTCACATTGCCTTTTCTTTATTCGCAGCCGAAAACTCCCAAGGAAGGTCCGGATTGTTATCTGCAGTATCAATGTGCTGCACCAAACCCCAATTTCGTTAAGCACACCAGTAATTTAAAAACACATATATACTTTAAGAATCAAAAGCAAAGAAAATCAATGATTTCGTAGCAGCGTGGACTGGTACTTACGTAGTTCAAGGAAGTGGAGAAGGATCTAGATGCCTGTAGAAATTAGAGAAACGGAAATAAATGAGATCAAAAGAGGCAAGTGGTTGGATGCGGGGAGAACGAAAGAGAAAAAAATCGAAGGAGAAAAACCTGAGGAGTTAAGCGGAGAGATTGACGGATCTCGAGGAGACGCGTGGCTACGATACGAGCTAGCATGTTCGGAGGACGCTGAGCTCAGTGGAGTGTGGAGACGATTTGGCTGGGGGTGGGGGAAATATTTACCAGAAAACGGAGAGAATAAATGAACGTAGCCAGGATGGTTCGTGCACAAGACGATCAGCGTGTAGTAGGCGAGTTAGTTTGGCCCATTACCGACCCTGCTCTTATAAAATCTGGATGCACGAACATTGCTGGAAACGGTTGTTTAATGGCCCGGCCCGTGAAACATGGGAGGAAATAAACTCGAGAGTGCGTGCTTGGTGCCATAAAACTATTTTTTTTACATTTCTAGTATTTTTTTTCTTTTTCAATTTTTTAATGAAAAAATGAAAATTTTGATTATTTATTGAGAATAAAAATGAATTTTTCACTAATAAAACATATTACAACTATTCCTCGTAAAAAAATAAAATTATAATTGTCTTCTTGATATTTTATATTTATGATAGTATAATTATAAAATATTGATGTTATTTCATTAAAAATAAAATAATCATGAAAAATTTATAGTTTTAATTTAAGAAAAAATATTTATATTATACTCACGGTGAAAATTAAATTTACAATACTCACTAAATATAAAAAAATAACTCTAGTAATTTATCTTGTTGTGGAATATGTGTATGTGTGCACACGTGTATTATTCATTTTACGTGTTTTATTTATTTATAAAACAGTTGAAAATTATCAGTAAAGTAAGATTGTGAAAAACCTTTTATTTCTTCATCTTTAGTTCGAGAGGGGGGAGAGGATGATGCATGCCGAAGCTAAGTATGTTAATTGAAACACAAAAATTACAAGAAAAACACAAAAGGTTTAATGAGAAAAAAAAATGTAGATATTAACCCTTAATTTGTAGTTTTTATTTTTTGAAAAATAAAATATATGGCAAGTGTCTTCTTAAGAGGTTTATAATACCATTAAAATTACTAATAAAAAAACATAAAAGAAATAAACAATAAATCCAAATTAAAACATATAATTTGAAAAAACACATAAAAAATAATAAAATAAGCCTAAATGCGAGCATCGATGCTCAAAATGCTATTTTCAAAGATTTTTCAATCCATTTTATGTTCTAGTTAATGCCTTAAGAGAAATACTCGTAAAATCATGTATAAAAAATTAACTCTGATCAAATAATTATATATAATTAGGTTTGACCGTGTAAATCTTTTTTTACTTATAAATCTATTTTAATAGTTTATAAAAATATTTATTAAACTATTCATATGATTATTTATATTAGATTCCTATCAAATAATGTAAAATCCCCCCTTGAATGCTTAAAATTGCTAGTGTTTACAAGCCTGACTACATTAAAGGAAGTGTTTGGATTCCAATAACATAGAAAGAAAGCCTCCATTGATATTTATGATGCCTATAAAAAAAAAAAAGATTTTGATATTAACTAGTCTTATTAAATAATAAAAATTTATTTTATATGTATTTTGTCATTGACACTATCTTAAATGATAGTTAAAAGCTTGCAAGCTTTTTGGTCTGAGGTTAATTTTAGTTTTTTTAATTTTTTTTAATATCTTAGACAAGTTTATTAAAATGTGTAGATAGTTGTTTGGATCAAAATATAATTGGTTTTTTTTCTTCATATAAAACACCGTTATCATAACTTTACAACAACTTTTAGTCATTTAAATCTCGATAAAGTTGTTTGCTATATTTTTTTTTTAAATACAAGAACAAACAACAAGTCATATACCTTATAATAAATAAATTAATTAATTAAATTAACACAAGAGCGCAGCGCTGGATGATCTAGGCTTACAAGCCTAAGCCTTTTGTCTTAGAGGCCTGGGTGTTCTCAAGGTTTTTTTTTCTAATTAAAAATTTTAATTTTTTTATAAATTTTATTTTATAATATTTTTTTAAATTTTAATTAATTATTTATTTCGGTTTAATATTTAATAGCTCTTAATTTATCTAACAAAGATAAACTTTTTAATTTAAAATTTAGATTTTTCCATGTAAAAACCTTTTTCAATCTCACTTAAAAACTAAAAGCTAAAAAATGGTCTGCAATTGAAATAGAAAAACCTGCAAGTGTAGATCCATGAGAAAGCCTAACTTCAATACAATAACGAACACTAGCCCAGCACATACTTTATTATTTATTAATTATTAACATGGATGGATATTCAAGTTAGTTTGTATATATTTAAATTAATTATATAAACTGTAAAATTAATAATTATATAATTTTCCAATGATTTAAACTTATAATTATTAAAAAAATTAAAATAAACTACCATCATAATTTTTTTTTCTCCATAAAAGGGGATAGCAGAATCCAAAAGTGAAAAGTGAAATATATTTTTGCTGCAAAACACTAAAACCTTTCATAAGACTTCCCATCTGCACAATCGGGCACTTTCAAAACCCCACCCACCGGTTCAATGCCACCCATTACCATAAGCACTACTAAGACCTAAGAGTTTCATCAATGGCTTTAGAGCAAGCACTAGCACTATCACCAGCAACTAACCTCTTTTTTTCAATTTCGAACCCCCCCCTCACAAACACCAAAACTCCTGCTTTGTCCCTGAACCCTCTCTCCTCCTCCTCGAAGAGGTCCCACTTCCAACGCAGCTTGAAATGCTCCGCTGATTATAGAGATAAGCAGTACAATCAAGCGGTTGCGCATGCTAAACCGGCTGAGATTCAATGGAACAAGGAGCTCTGTAACTCGGTGCACCTCATCGGGATCGTTGGGACCCCTGTAGAAATCAAGCACCTCCCCTCCGGCAAGGTAGTCGCTTGGACACGACTTGCTGTCAAGAAATCTGCAAATGACACCTCCTGGTAAGGAAATGTTCATGTCTAAAACATAAATAAAGTTGGGTGTCTTGAAATTTAACATTTTCAATTTTGTAGTTTTATTATTTATCGTTGCGATTGCGTAGCCTAGTACTTTTTCATGCCAACAAAACAAAAAATTTATCTTGGGATTCTGTTACACATCTGTTTCCTGTTTTCCTGTGATTTTACTAGTTTTGCATTTCGCTTCACGCTGTTCTAAATGCTTCACAAAATTCTGATAAAGTGCCTCAGAAACATTTTATGAGAACGACAATGCTTGTTTCGCAGGGTCAATTTGACATTATGGGATGATTTGGCACGAGTTTCTTCTCAGCATGTAGAGAAAGGCCACCAAATATATGTATCTGGTCGATTGATCACAGATTCAGTTGAAAATGATGAAGGGAAGCTGCAGACCTACTACAAGGTTCTGTGACGGTCATATCTGTTTTTGTGTTTTTTTTTTTTTGGTTCAAATGGATTTTTATCTCTTCGGACCTCTAGCAGGTAGTTGTCCAGCAGCTGAATTTTATTGAAAGAAGCTCTTCAAAAGGATTACATGACTCCGACTTTAATAGCACGGCAGCTGGTAAATCACATATCTCTTATGAAAGAAGATTTTGAATGTAAATTTATGGTGTGGATGGTAATGCTATTTGCTATATAATTGCCTGCAGGTAGTAAGTTTGGTAACAACACTGCAAATGACATGGGTTCCATGGAAGAACGGTGGCAAGCTTTTTTTGTTAATCCTTTGGAGTGGTGGGATAATAGGAAAGATAAGGTAATCGTCTCGGTTAATGAACCGGAAAATGCATGCATACATGTGCTTCTTGCCAATTTATTTTTAGAAAGTTCTCGAGTGCTCATTTGATGCAATGACCATTTTGTGCCTGCATGTGCTGGGAAAAAAATTCCCTCATGCATTAGGATCTTGCTTTGTTAATCCATGTTTAGTTGATGTTATATTTCATAATCATTTATGCATATGGATCAAGAGGCCTGAAGTACTTTGCCCCTTGTTAATAGTGAATGAGGACTTGAAATTGATTGTTTGCTGTTATATATTGCTATATGATTAACATTATTTCTTTGATTTGCAGAGGAACCCAAAGTATCCTGATTTCAAACACAAAGACACTGGAGAAGCTTTGTGGGTTGAAGGCAGGTACAATCCTCCTTGGGTGAAGTCCCAGTTAGCTATATTGGACGAACAGATGGGATCTCTTCGAGATCAGGACTCTAGGTTGCACGAAAGTTCAATGTCTGGTGATGATTTCATTTCCTTGTCCTAGCTAAGTGATTCCCTCTTCATTTGATGTGATTTTTGGAAGAGCTGAAATAGGTTTTGTTTGTATAATATGTAATGTAGAATCTATGTTGTCTAAGAGTTGCAAGTTTCTCTGTGGCTTTTGAACCATTTAGAACATGAGTCAACGTTCTTGTCATTATAAAATATTCTTTGTTTTGGTCTTGAGAAATATGTCCAACATGGAGAAGTAATTCCCTGGGAATTTACCCAGGAGCACCATAGCATTTTCTAAGTAAGATGAGATTATTTAGTGTTTGTGCTAGAGTGCTCTGTTGAACCTCAGTCCATCCAACTCGGCTTCAACTTGATCTATTACCACCACGGGCTAAGTGTATGAGTATGATGTAGAGCTATGATATTTCTGTGTTATATTCTCTATGTAAACACTCCAAGGAATTTGAAGTGAAGTTAACCATAACACCAATAACAATAATCGTAAGATTCATTTCCAGCCATTTTGTATTTCAATACTGCAGTCCCAAAGTGTTGTTTGTTCTCCAAGCCTCAGGTAGTCCTTTCACAACCGCTTAAATCTCCAAGCTGTGTAGCTGTGTTTGACTATATGTATGTGCAGAAGTGCTTAGCATCTTGTATTATTTAAGTTAGTTTTTTTTTTTTTTCTGGTAAGGATCGATATCTGTGGAGGACCAGGCTTGATTGCTTTGAGTGGGTTTTACCAAATCAACCCCTTTTTATGATCAGATTCGGTATCTATGATTAGATTATATTCTGTATCCATGTTGCTTCCTTTATTTTCTTTATGGATAGTTCACATTCTGTCATGCAAAGTGGTGCTTCTAATTAGAACATACACGAGAAATTTTCTTTAATTTATTAGTTATTTGGTATTTATTGCATCTAGTTCTTAGAATCATTCCTGAAGTATAGATGCCTTTGTTTTTCTAATTGCAATGCTCTATCACCATATGTGAAGTATGATAAACGTAGCAAGTCTTTAAGAATACAGAAATACTGGAGCTGGCAGCAACTCTGTGGTCTCTTCCTAAGCCATCATTTAGAATGGGAGTGCATCAGAGAATTTTACACTCCTATCAACAATCTCTCTAGTCATGGTTGATGACGAGTTAGAAATACTGAAATGTGTTTCTCAAATCATCTAGTTCGATTTTGTTACCCACCAAAAATAGAAGCTTGCCAAGCTATAAACATGCGCATCCCCCCCCCCCCCCTTTTTTTTTTATGGGCCTGACAAACATGAAATTTCAATCTGACTATTAGTAATGCATACTTATTTTATTGGGTAATGCCCGTCGAAGCAACCTGGCTTGGACGGAATTCTTTCTCTGGCAATAGGAGGAAAAGTTTTCTGCAATTAAATATTCTGTACATTCATGGAAACCCAGTTTCAGGTGTTTTCTGTATGAATGAAGTGGGATGCAAACTTCTTTATAATGATCATCTTGGATATTAGTGCTTGAACGGGTGTTTTTGCTTGGACTTAACCCCCATTCTCCCGAATATGCTGGAAACAATATTTGATAGACGAAATCATACAGATCATAGAGTGCAGAAGGTCACTTTCACAATTTTATTCTTCATATTGTCTCAAGGTTATACATAATCAAGGCTAGTGTTAGAAAGAACCATACCTCCTGTGGATACGAAGAGGGTATGAATCCTTGTTGGAATTGCTTTCGTCTGAACTTCATTAGTGAAAAAGGACTCAAGTATCTTGGTAATCAACCCATTTTTTTGAAGTAATCGAGCTAGATTTCGAAAATTTTATGCCTCATGTGTGATGATACTAGGTTTCACTTGGACTTTCTAAGAATAAAAAAGGCCTGGATTACCGAGTAAAAGCAACACGAATATATTTTTTCCTGTAACTAGCATTGAATATTGAAGACTCGCTCGTTTATAATTCAGAAAAAAAAAGTGTGATCTTTCTGTCTCTATAGTTTAATTGATACATATCCAGATCTTGGAAACCAAAACCAAGGAGGGAGAACCAAAGCCAAAAAAGATCTGATCAACTTGTTTCTGTTCCCAAGAGACCTAATCTCTTGGAGAATCCAAGCCAAATCACTCTTCACCTAAATCACCACATCTCCTTTTGCTGACAGGTTTCAAGTTTTGTGTTTTGATTTATCAACAGCCCAATCATCTAGCTTCTGATCCTTTCATAATTCTCAGCCTCTTGCAGGAGGAGATAAACATGCTGCAGCAAGAATAAGACATTTGTAAGTTTAGGGAAACAAATACGAAGCACTTCATATTCACGTAAAAGGAAAACTATGGAAGAGGGAGCTTACTCCCATGGAACGTCTCCAACTAGCATCCAGTCTCCATCTTTATCTTCGTAAGTAGGAGCAAATTCAGATCCATTGTACCCTTCATTCTCTGAGTATTCACCTGAAAATTGCATGGACTCCCATGAGAACCAATACAATAATAATAATAAAAATTAGAAAAAAATAAAATGTGATGCACTGCCAGTACTGTTTTCATATTTATGAGGGAGGGAATTGCATGTAATCTTACCAATGGTAAGCTCGAACATACTCTCCAAGGCTTTGAGGAGCTCTGGGTAGCTCTTGTACACATTAAGATCAATCTTCCTGAGATAAGGAGCTCCATCCACGCTCACTTTTACGTACACGCCAGCACCATCAACTTGATCATTTTTCTTTGGTTGCAAGCAATTTTTCCTATAAGATCGGATTGGTGGCCATCCCACTACTTGTGTCCTGCCATCATTAGCCAACATAAACTATGCATGCCGGATAGATTGACACAGAACATCATAGTTGCTAATCAATAATCTGTTAGAGGTGAAAAAACTTACTTGGCAGGAGTGGCACTGTCTCTTTCACCATTTTCGACATTGGAGGACACACTAGAACTGCCCTTGGACCTGGACTCTGATATTTCTGGCGAGGCTCTCTTATTACTCCTTACACTAGGAGTAGTTGATGGTTTCTCTGGCTCATCGCTTCCCGGCAACCCTAACCTCAGTTCTGTTGCCTTTAGATTTAGATCGCTTTCGTATGCCATTGACTTCTCCATTGCTTATCACAAATATTCTTGAACACTAACTTGTTGCAAACCAAATGATCTCTATTTCTTTGTGTTTTTCCTTCTCGACACTTTCTGCTTAGGGGGGATTCTTGAATATTCCAATCAATCAAAGTTGAAAGAACTAATTCTTGATATGAAATGAAACGGTTGTTGTGTCGATGAGAAAGATGGGATGTACGAATAGTTTTATAGGGGTGATTAACAAGGGACAATATCCAGGTGACTCGTTCTCTTCGTGCACGAACTTCATCGATCAGAAATGATAACCCCACAAGCCTGAGCCACACGCTCTACCTTCTAAGCCAATCATATACTTCCAAGTAGGGTTTTCCAGGTGGGGCTCACAGAACACGCTTCAGCTGTGCGCGTGGAGCTGAATCATTTAAGTGAAAGTCAGCAACAGATATGGCTGCCTGTCAAATGGGAAGCACAATGGAGTTTGGTGTTGTTTGTGAGGGGGACAAAGAAGAGACAAGCACAGCCGATGGTATTGAAGACTCTGGACCAGAACTGAACGGCTGAGATTTGGTTATTGGAGAGGCAAATCAAGGAACGTTGGATCTTGAGGGCTTGATGGGAACATCCCCATGTGAACTGAGGGTCCCACGTGAATGTGGGACCTCTAATTTTTTCGAACTTGATTTGGTCTTGTGGACGGTACATGACATGTGGCATGGTCAGCTCTTGCCTTGCTGAGTCATACATTATTTTTTTCCTTGTTTTTTTTAAAGATTGTCTACCTTTAATCAACTTACTTCACCATGAATAAATCTGTTTACTGTTACTATCAATTAATAAAAAAATCAAATGACCTACAAGAGGAATTCGAGACAAAAAGTGCAATGAATTGTGCATTTGCAGAATTTTCTACGAGTTTAACCTTGATCTAAAATCGTAGCATGCATGCCTCCATTGACAATATTTGATAAATTCACAAGAGGATTTGTCAAATGGTAACATGACTTTGGAATGAATCATCCTCATGTGTGAATCTGTGTATCATTATTCAACGCTTAGGGTTCATGTTCCAAAAATAAATGTCAATCTCTTGTTCTTTGTGAAGGCATTGTTAAAATAGGATTTGGCTTCTACTTTCTACTCCAAGGCAATGTACGTAAACGGAATTCAACATTAAGATGTGCCCGCCACACATTTATTACAAGGAAAGAGGCCACCTTTTAACTTTGAATCCATCTCCGAGCTAGCCAGCCATGAAGTACACATAAATTCCTGCATATTTGGAAGCCCCGCGACCAAACTCTACTCAAGGCAAGATCTTCTTTTAGCTAAATCTTGTGGTGCATAATTCACAAGCCCATCAGCCCCAGATGGTTCACAAAATCTTCTAAATTTTTGTATTTAATATATTGAACGATAGGGATGTATAACAAATCCAACCTGCTGCTTCTCTGTATGATAAAAATGCGATAGTGCTATCTGATTGTTACTTTTGTAATTCTCAACCACAATTTTTTGTTTTGGCTATGATACTTAGAGCTTCACAGGTGTAAACACATACAGCCTCTGCTGTCATGGCAGGTTTGAAATTAAGTTTTTTGGTAGCAAGATATTCATATCCCTGCATAATGCTCCGACTGTACCGACTTCAATTTCTTCAACCAAATTATTAATGTTCCTTTTGTTGGGAATTTCGACCGGTGATGTTCTGATACTTGCTCATAGGAGGGCCAAACACACTGACACAATATTTAACGTGGTTCGGCAAAACCGCCTACATCCACGGGAGAAGTCAATATATTTAGAGATAGAGAAAGAATACAAAACAAATACATGGAGGAGGAGGATTACACCCTCTCATACTCAACTCTCAACTCTCTTTGCTGTACTTGCAGCTGCTGCCATTGCAGCTCTCTCTTCCTCTCTACTCTCTTCACATTTTCATAATTCTCTTCACACATTTTGCTCTCTTGCATATGCCTCTATTTATAGGCATTCATGGAGGCTTTTCTTCAATAAAGGTGGCTGTCAACTCCAACTCTTCTTCAACAATGGTGGCTGCCAACCTTTGACATCTTGGATGAGTGCACATGGTTGGTGCAATAGCAAATGGTTGTTGCACATTAATGGCAACTAACCTAACAATCACCCCCTTTGCCATTCATGTGGGGCAACTGTCCTCATTCTTCTTCAACACAAGCTTGCATCTTGCAGCTCTT